CACTGACTCATAGCCAAGAACCTGAAAATAAAACTATCCCAATAAGGTACACAAAACCTCCAAAACAGCAAATAGCATGGAGCCATATTATTCATGCCTTTTACTTATAGGAAAGGCTCACTTGGTAACAATACACTCCGATCTCTCAACATGTTCAATTTCGCGGTTTTCATAGCAGCCTACTGGATTACAAATTGCAAATTCTAAAATGAGGCTAATTCTAAATGCTTGCCAAGAAGAGCAGGGAACAAACTACAGAATCAAAACCTCAAAATGGGTTCACTCATCCAACACTGAGTAAGTCCCCACGGAATACAAAGATGAAGACAAGATTTAAGTATGATAGTTTTCACTACGCAAATTAGTCAAGATTTCTTAAAATGAGAATCCTAGTACTGGCAAAGCATCAAGGGAAGAAAAGAGCCCCTCAAAGTCTTTGTGGACAGTGAGCAAGAGCATGTGCCCTCAAGGGCAACATGGTGACAGGCATCACGGTTGCTGTGTATGCTCTCTGAATTAGCAACTATGCTGTAAGAATATAGGCTACGAAAATCAGAAGCAGTAATAAAGACCCATGACAAGTAGGCTTATCACCACATTTATGTTAATAGTGAAAAATTATAAACATCGCAAATGTCCATCCTGGGAGATAAATGGTATTACATTTACATGACAAAAGACAATGTAGTCATTAGTAACAGTGCAAACCAGTGGAGGGGCTGGTTAGGAATATGCAAAAACAAATCTACTCTGATCTCCCCCACTAGTATGCAACTGTTGCAAGCCCACCCCCACCAAGATGTTTTCAGGATATAAGGAAATAAATGAAAACATTATAAAACCATATATAGACTATGAACCCAATTTCCCAGTGATTATTATCAATATCACTATTTATACAGAAGTATAAATCCTGGCCTTTCCACCTGCAAGCTTATAAACTTAAAAGGTTTTTACTCTCCAAGTTTCATTTTTCTCACTGTAAGATGATGATAATAACAGAACCTACTTCATAAGGACAAAAAGAGCAATTCCTGGGATTCTGCTCTGAGTGAGACATTGACAATGTCAAAACCTCCCAAAAGGAGCTTCAAACATTCAGGCACTATTCATCACATTTAAATTAAAATAGCTTTTTAACTGGTTTCATTTCTTTCCTCACATGCATCCAACACTATTACCAAATCAATATTCCTAAAACCTTAATTTCATGTCATTCCTTGATTTAAAAATCTTTAATGGCCTCAAGATGAGATTCTCCTCAGGACAACACAACTTAACACTATTTCACCTGTACTGTGAAGTGTTAACAGTATGAGTGGAATTAGGCTGTTCAAATTTGAATCCTGGGTCCACCACTTACTAGCTGTGTGACACAGGCAAATTAAAGAAAGCCCTCTATGCTTCATCAGCTCCTCACCTCTAAAATGTGGCTATTATCCACAACATAAGGCTGTTTTCACAAAATGAAAATTCCTATCAAGTGCTTACTTAGCACACAATGCCTGGCACAGGAGATGTACCCTATAAATGTTACCTATCATTACTTCCCTAAATAAGCTGCCTACTCTGCCTCAGCTGCCCTCCTTAATAATACCTAAACACACAATGTCCACCTTAGAGCCTCCTCTGATGATGACATTCTCACCCATGAAGCACCATTCCTTCACCACCACTAGAGTATATGTTCAACATTTATACTGTATATTCCAGGTGTAGACTGAAAATACAGAAAAAATACAGTCCCAACCTTCAGAGCTCATGGTCTAAAAATGAAAGACAGCCAGAGGAAGAGGTACAACAGCCAAGTCACAAGTGCCAAGGGAAGCATTTCTTGGAGGCAGGAGAGATGCTTACTTATACTGAATGCTGAAAGCTGGGTTAACGTCCAATTCTGGGTTCAACATTTATACTGTATATTCCAGGTATAGACTGGAAATAGAAAAAATAAACAGCCTCAACCTTCAGAGCTCATGGTCTAAAAATGAAAGACAGCCAGAGGAAGAGGTACAACAGTGTGTCACAAGTGCCAAGGGAAGCATTTCTTGGAGGCAGGAGAGATGCTCACTTACACTGAATGCTGAAAGCTGGTTTAACATCCAATACTGGGTTAACATCAATACTGTAGTCATAGTCACTACTGAGACTGGCACTGCTGGAATGCTGAGGCTAAAGGGCAGGCAGGATGTGAGGAAGTTAGACAAAGGACTAGATCAAGGAGGTCAGAAAATGTTTGCAGTTATTCCATAAGCAACAGGCAGCCCCTAAAGAATGATAAACAGGGTACACCTGCCTGGGCTCTAGAACAGTTGTATTGTATTGTTTAATATAGAAGCCACATATGACTACTGACTTGAAATATGGCTAGGGTGAACTGAGGAACTAAATTTTAACTCATTTAAAAACTGATTTGCAATACAGTTGCCAGAAAACTTTTATGAACATTTGCATCAATTAGGGTATGTGAATTTACTTTTTCAACAGTAAGTTTAACGCACTCTTCATGCAGATGAGGTATTTCTGATGAAAATTTAACATCCAAGTACAAATGTGCTGTAAGTGTAATAAGATATGTACTAGATTTCAAAAACCGTGCCAAATATGTCATCAATAATCTTATATTAATCATGTTAATATTTTGATTAAAGATACTAAAATTAATTTTATCTCTGTACTTTTGAATGTAGCTACTAGAAAATGTCAAATGATGTATGTGGCTTGCTTTATACTTCCATTGGACAGCATTAACCCAACAGATCCCAGGGCACCTGAATGGAAAGAGACTGAAAGCAGGAGGTGTGACTTATTTAACTTCTTCCCATCTTCAAAACTTAAGACCTATTACTACCTCAAAAAGCATTTCCAATCATAACAATTCTAAGGGGGTGCCTTTCTCTAAACTCCAGGGGCACTAATCATCTATAGCATTCACTTCAGCCCGTCATCATTTACCACCTATCATTTCTACTTAATTTGGGGGCGATCTGTTTCTTAGAGTAGACTAGAAGATCCTGGGCTAAGGACCATAATTTAGATACCTTTTATTTTTCCACAGTTTGATGCATTTTCAATACATTTAATAAACAGAAGTGCAATCACAAACATCTCAAGACACCACTGTGGCTGACTTTACCTTTCCACAGTACAGGGTATTGAGATCTCATCTTTTCCTTCAAACACCTTAAAACAGCGGTTCTCAACCCTTTCACAGGGGTTACCTAAATATATCCTGCATATCAGATATCTACATTACGATTCATAACCGTAGCAAAATTACAGTCATGAAGTAGCAACGAAAATAATTTTATGGTTGGGGGTCACGGCAACATGAGGAACTGTATTAAAGGGGGGCAGCATTAGGAAGGTTGAGAACCACTGCCTTAGAAGGACATGAGCTACACTGAAGTAAAAGTTAAGCAAAACTTCAAACCAATGTTCCAGTAAAGCAGTGATATTTACAGTGAGCAAGCACTGGTAGACTCTATTGGATGATATCAGGAAAAAAAACATGTCAAGATGACAGAGCAATTTAGGGTTCTCACAAATTCCATTAGAAATCAAACAAAAAATCTCACTGCAGAGATAACCTTTGCAACCTAAGCGTCAAAAATTTTCATTTGAGGGAAAAACACACAGCTTTAAATTTTAAAAATTAACCCTAAATCAATCCTTCTAATAAATAACACATTCTGCAGGTAGGGAGCCACATATTACTAGTAAACCTACAACTAGGCATTTCCCCATCTCAATTAAAGTAAGGTGAAGAAAAACCTTTCTAAAGAAATGTTGTATTAAGAAATAGTGTAAATATGTTTTGCTGTATCATAAACAAAGTATTTCACCTAAATTATCATTTAAATTTCTGGAACCCTTAAACCGAAAAACAAACACCCATTCAACTGGTCAGCTTCTACCACTACTGAAACAGGAAGCTAGGAGCAATTAGTTAAAAGCAAGGAACAGTGTACACAGTTATTAGTCCTGATCTTCTGAGACTTTGCAGTTCTCAGATTTTTCGTGTTCGACATTTAAAACATAAAGTTGACAAATTTTTGGTAATACGTTAGTAAGAAATAAATTATGACACCGGAATTGATCTTTTCTGCTTGCATTCGTTTAACAGTTACAAACTTCATATTACCAAGTACAATCAAAGTTTCCATCTCCAAACAATCAAGCAATCAAAGATGGAGTCAGAACAGCTCATAAGGAAACATAAGGCAGAAGAAATGGGGGAAACCTGTCAAACAGCCTGGATGAAATCAAGGAGTTAAAAGAAACACTCATTTCCTTTAGCACTCTGAGAAAATTCCAGTTGCTAATAGAAAGCTGAGGAAAGTTTAGTTTGGCTGGTTTCATTTTGTTTTCCTTCCAACCTCGACACTGTGTATGTACGACTGCTTTCCTCTCTTCGCATTACTCAGTAAAAACTCCCCCATTGAATTCAGTGTCTTCCGCTGCCACACTCCCCAGCCTCCCACATTAACCCCCGCCCCCGTCTCCCTCCCAGCAAACGTGCTCAGACGCCTCTGGGCAAGTTGTGGTCTTACCAGTCTGCAGGCGAACGCTCCAAACTCAATGGACAATGGAGCTCACCCCCGTCAACACGAACTACAAAGCTCAGGAGGGCCATTTCCCTTTTCCTGCCCAGATGCTGTTTTTGCTTCTTCGAAGCAGGGTCCCATATTAGATTAGAGCCCCAGTTTGGACTAAGACCGGCCTTCTTCCTCACCTGCCGAGTTGCTGACCCCCTCCATCCCCAAATAAATTGAGGGTTGCAGTTAAGTGTACTGCAGCGCACAGGTGAAAAGGGAACCCCTTAGCAGGGGCCTAGTTGTGGGCATGGGTCTTACAGTCAAGGTGGGACAGGAGGGAATGTCTCCGGACGCTTGGTCATGCCCTCAAGGCTGTCCCCTCCCCCTACAGCCAGAAGATCGGGGAGGTGTGAGCAGGCAGCACTGCCACCTCCACCTCTAGCGGAACCCTCGGCCGACACTCACCCTTTCACCACAAAGAAGGGGTCCTCCATGGACATGGCGTCCCGGCCCCCGGCCGCCTCCGCCTGCTACGCGCTCAGGGCGCCCGCGCCCTCCTGGCCTCCCTCCGCCCACCACTCCGGCTCCTGCTGCCACCTGCGCCTTTGCCGGGGTTGGGGTGGGGTGGGGTGGGGGAGGAAAAGAACTCTGAGCAGCAGGCGCGCGCACAGGCCAGGTACTCAGGATCGCCGCTGGTCCAGCACTCGGTCAGCACCACAGGCCAAATCCTGGACTCCGGCACCGGCCCCGACGGCAGCCTCCTTCCCTGGCTCCTCCCAGAGCGTCTGTCGTCCCGCCCCCGCCTTCTCGGCCGCAGCCAATCAGAAACGCGGCCTTCGGCAGCACTTCCGCACTCGCGCCCGTGTGATCAGGGCCAGGCCCGCCCCTCGTCGGCGGGGCTTGGGCACTTCGTCAAGCTGTCCTGGAGGCGGGGCGGTGTTCTATTGCCTTGCCCCTGTAGCTTGAGAGGGTGGAGATACTTGTTCCCTCAGAGGTACCCGGTCAAGACTTCAGGGCAGACTGTAGTTGTAGCTGATTTACAAAATCCTTTTATCTTTCTTTTACCTTTAGTTCTTGATCTTGATTGTGTGTGATTTATAAATCCATCTCGTCTTTGACAATAAAGCTTGCTCTTACATAGTATCTGATTATAATAATGTTACACAAATCCTTTATGTAGGTCTTACTGTGCGTTGGGCAATGTGCTAAAGGCTGTATGTGCATCATCTCAATATTCTTATGGGGAAGGTATTACGATTATTCCGATCTTGTAAGTAAGAAAATAAGGTCAGAAAGGTTTCAAGATTTCCTGTGGTCACACAGCCAGGGGAGGGAAGAGCCACAGATTGTGTGCATTTTCCACCAGATGGAGTATATTTTCTTTTGATGTACATTCTGCAAATGACCACATAAGATAATTTTTTTCATATAGCATATGATTCTTCCCAGGAGAAAGTACCTTTGAGGGATAAAGAAGGGGTCAGATATGACAACTTCCTGTCAGCTATGGTTCAAGAGCTCTTCCAGAAAGTATTTTGACCAGAATGAATAGCCAACTCATATGCTAGATATGCTATGGAGTTTGTAGATGGGGATTGTGGGCTTTAATAGCTGAAAATTATTGAGCACTTAACTATGTGTCAGGCAGGGTGATAAGTGTTATCTCAGTCACTCTCATAATCAAATAATTGCTGTTATTTATTATCCCCATTTTATGGATGAGGAGTCCAAGACTCTGAGAGGTTAAGTGACTTGCCCAAGGTCAATAGTCTTGGGGATGACAGAGTCCTCAGAGCTATGCAACCTCACTTGAACCTTGGCTATGTCGTTTAATTCCTCACCTATAAAAAAGAAATAATGATATTCAGCTCAGGGGTTGTATGAGGGTTAAATAAAAATGCATGTAAACCTCAAAGTCCCAAAGGAGTGAAGTAGTGAAGTCAGGCAACGCTGCTAGAAAGCTTCTGTGGTCATCTGGCCTGAAGGGATGAGGGCCAAACTAGGAATGATAGCAGTTGAGAACAGAGAGGAAGGAGTGAATCTGATAGATATTTCAAAAGAAAAGCAAAACAAAAACTTAGACATGATGAGAGGTTGGATGGGGTTAGCAAGAAGAGAGAAGAGAAAAGTGAAAGTCAAAAACTCTAGAGGAGCAATGGAGGGCAGAAGTGGAGGAAAGAAGCTATTGGGAGAGAATTGTTTGGTTATGGCCATATTGAGATGGGGAGGTGAAAGGGAATCATTGTTCATTCAACAGACACATGTAAGTTGAGGGACAGATGAGTATGATTAAACGCCATACGTGGGCTGCATCACTCAAGTTCAAATCCTGTCTTGGGCAAGCTGCTTAATCTCTCACTATCCTTAGCTATGAAATGGACACCATATGGCCTTCCTCATAGATGGTGATGCATGAAAAGTTCTTAGGGAGGTGCCTGTGGCTCAGTCAGTGGGTAGGGCACCGGCCCCAGCCAAACTGCAACAACAACAAAAATAGCCAGGCATTGTGGCCAGCAACTGTAGTATCAGCTACTCTGGAGGCTGAGGCAAGAGACTCGCCTAAGCCCAGGAGTTGGAGGTTGCTGTGAGCTGTGACTCCATAGCACTCTACCGAGGGCAATAAAGTGAGACTATGTCTCAGAAAAAAAAAGAAAAGAAAAAGAAAAAGAAAAAAAAAGAAAGAAAGAAAAGAAAAGTTCTTAGGCCTGGAGCGGTGACTCACACCTGTAATCCTGGCACTCTGGGAGGCCAAGATGGGTAGATTGTTTGAGCTTATGAGTTCAATACCAGCCTGAGCAGAGGTGAGACCCCCCCCATCTCTACTAAAAATAGAAAAACTGAGGCAAGAGAATCTCCTGAGCTCGAGAGTTGGAGTTTGCTGTGAGCTATGATGCCATGGCACTGTACCCAGGGCAATAGCTTGAGACTCTGTCTCAAAAAAAAAAGTTCTCAGAACAGTGCCTGACATGTTTTGTGCTCCTACTATGTGCTAAGCACAGAGGACACAGAGATGAACAAGGATTCCCTTCAAGCAACTCTTAGACTGGTGGGAGAGACACGCAGTTAGTACACACAAAGAAGGCCACAGATTGCCATAGAAACACAGAGCCAAGATATGGTATATTAGTGTGTCTGGTGGGCTGGGGTGGAGGCTTCTATGCAATGAGGAAAAGGGGCTGTGTTGCAAAAATAAGAAGGAAAGGGATGAGGGCAGCAGGAACTAAGGCTGGAGGTAGGTAGGGTCAGATATCAGGGTCCTTGGTTATGATGTTCAGAACTGTGGACACTCTTCTGTAGATGACAAGGACTGAGGGAAATGGCAGGTTCGGATTGTCATTTGAGGTGGATGCTATGGTGGTTGGGAGGTCATGGTCCAAAGGAAAGTTGAGGATGTCCTGAGCTGGACTCAGGGCAGCTAACATGAAGAGGAGGGGTGCATTTGAGAAATACTTCAAAGGCAAAATCAGTAGACCTGGTGACTGGTTCAGAGAGTGGGAGAGCTAGAGAAAGAAGAGGAAGGCTTGCAAGTGGGTAGAGTAGGTTCCAGTTATCAAGAAAGAGAAGACAGGAGAAGGATTTCATTTAGGGTAGATACAAATTAGCTGCTAGCATATTGGTCTTCCCCACCAAACCATAAACTCCGGAAAGAACAGGATACTATGTTAATGTTACTACCATGTCAGTGCCTAACAAGGCCTCTATTCTCTGTTCCATGAATTTATTAATTGAACTAACAATGAGAGGTCAGAGTTTTATAAGAAGAAACATAGAGGACAAGACTTGGAGAATTCCCATAATTAGGGCTTTAGAAAAAGTATAAACAATGGAGATAGAGGAGGATTAAGATGTGAAATGTCTGTGGATGCGTGGGAGGGTATTCCTTTCTTTGATGTGTCATCCTCTCTCAAACTAGACCTTGGCCTCCACTGCCCCAGGGAAAGAGAAGCTTCAGCTAACATGTAAGGAGAAACCAAGGATATGAGTTTGTTTGCTTGCTTGCTTGCTCTCTCTTTCTCTCTCTCCCTTCCTTTTCTTTCCTTCATTTTCTTTTTTCCTTCCTTTCTTCCTTCCTTCCAAACAGACCCAGGTCCCAACAATAACTTAAGAAGAATATTTATCAAAAGCTGTATCTTAGGCCTGGCACCTGTGGCTCAAGCGGCTAAGGCTCTAGCCACATACACCTGAGCTGGCGGGTTCGAGTCCAGCCCGGGCCTGCCAAAACAACAATGATGGCTGCAACCAAAAAAATAGCCGGGTGTTGTGGCAGGTGCCTGTAGTCCCAGCTACTTGGGAGGTGGAGGCAGGAGACTCGTTTGAGCCCAGGAGTTGGAGGTTGCTGTGAGCTGTGATGCCATGGCATTCTACCCACGGGGACAGCTCGAGGCTCTGTCTCAAAAAAAAAAGCCTTATCTTCCCATGCTCTCACTCCTACCCCTATTCTCCCCAAAAAAGAAGAATTAAAATTTCTCAAAGAGTAAAAACATCAAAGGAGTGGTTGTCTCGGGGTAGAGAGTATTGACTGGGAAGGGAATCTTCCTGGGGTACTAGAAACTGTACCTTGACAGGATGCGGGGATGTGGGTTACATGGGGGTATGTGTTTGTCATAACTCATCAGACTAAGTCTTCAATTCTTTTGATTTTGCTGTGGGAGGCTGATAAGCCAACTCTGAGTTTTCGGTAGTGTCAAACAGGGCATCGAGGAAAACCTCTGGTTTCTGAGTGAGTCTCCAAAGTTAGGAGAAAGAATGATTCAGGGAGCTTGCCAGGGTTCTGCAAGGCAGCTTCTGTAGAAATAAGGAAATGGCAAAGCAGAGGAGGCACAGGCAGCTGGGCCATGGAGCTGATGAGGATGGGGATCAGAAAGGATCAAACCATATCTCATAGCTAATGATGGCAGGATAGACCCGAGACAGTTTGCAAGGGTAGCCACTCCCTCACCCTGGAAGCTGTGGGAGTGCTATGCGTCCCCCCCAAGGAGATCCCTATGCTCTAAAATGGAAATAATGACACCCAAGCTGCTCCCTCGCTAAGTCGTGTGGATCAACTGGACCATATATGAGAAAGCATTTTCCAAAGTAGGAAATACTATAAGCCACTCTAATATTTTTATTAAAAAATTTTTAATTGTGACAAAATACACATGATATAAAGTTTGCCATCTTAACCATTTTTAAGTGTACCATTCAGTAGTGTTAAGTATGTTCACCTTGTTATGCAACCAATCTCTAGACCTTTTTCTTAATCTTGTAAAATTGAAACTCTGTCACAGTGTTTTTCAACCTTTTTTTAAATCTCACAGCACACTTGAACCAAAAGTTAAACTTCCATGGCACACTTAAATTATGTTGATTAGAAAAATGAGTAAGAAAAAGAATATACTTACTGTGCTTTGAACTTCTTTCAAAAACAATTTCATTAATGATCTTTAAAAAATGTCCTGGCATACCTGGCATCTTCCTTATTCTCCCACGCATACACACACCTGCCGTTCCACCAACTGCCCGTCGCTGGCAAGTCTCATTCTACTGTACGTGCCCATAAATTTGAGTATTCTGAGTACCTTACATAAGTGCAAAAATATAGGATCTATCTTCTAAAGACTTGTTGATTTCAGTAAGTATACCCTCCTCAGGGTACACCCATGTTATAGCATATTGCAGAGTTTCCTTCCTTTTTAAGGCTGAGTAATATTTCACTGTACATATACCACATTTTGTTTGTCCATTGATCCAT